TAGGATGATCTAAATGTATTGTATGTAAGGATTAATTAGTTAACATGTGCAATAGCTTTAAAGCTGCTTGGCATTATTATAGGATATAGACTTTGCAAAATATGGAACCGATAGTAGTATAAAATAACACCAAAGCTAAAATGTAAAATCTTCGCAATTACTTTATGGCTATGTAAAAATGAGACGAAATTGCTGGGGTGGTCTACTTGCTGGAACCAAGTTTCCTGGCTCTTAATGAGTTTGCCCTTTCCATAGTGCTGAGCAAGGTTTGCATCCTTCTGTTTCTTCTTGCATCTCATTTCTAATGGCTTCAAGACTTACCTTTGAAGCAATGTAATTGGTTTCACTGGCAACACCTGCCAAAAAGCAACCAAGAAATGGGGAAAACCCCCACATGCTTATGTGCTGATAGATTCACATACACAATTAAATGTAATGCATTATGTGTTGGGAAGAGAGCTTTTTACTAGAAACTCATTGATTTGATCTCTTTTTTTTTTGTTTTTACATATTCTATACAGATCTAGTATCTAACTAGGAAGTCTTTTTCAGCTAAACCTTTACGAGCCTTTTGTAAACTAAACATAAGAAGGGAGAAGACTGTGCACTCAGCAATTGCTGTAACGAACCAACAGAAAGGAGAAGGTAAATCGAGTACTCGTACAGATCATTCAGTTATTCAGTGTAACTCAGGGTATGTGTACTTGATAGTTTTGCAACAAAAAATGCTTTCTCTGGTGACATATCTCCCAGATTTCACCTGCTTACAGATGCTTCTGAGCATTTGCAGCTTCTGAGCACTCCTAAACTCTGCAGATGTGAATAGGGAAATTTGTAACACGACTATCTTACCAGCATAGGATTTAAAATGCTATTGGAGAGTGACTGGAGATGCAAGTCTGTCTATGACTTGAATATCAGGATTTCTTGGCTTTTGCTTCATTCATCTTCTAAGGCACAAAGAGAAACTTAGGTTTGCTTTTATTTATAGAGAAAGGGGCATTTTGCATTCTACACCAGCCATCTGCTTGCTTGTTCGCAGTGACGGCTGGGATATCAGTAAAATACTGCTCTGTGGCCTGCAGAGCTTGGCAGTGCAAAATTACAGTGTGTAATTTTGCCTGTACACAGGCATCTGCCGGGAACTGGAAGTTTGCAGCAGCCCCAGACCTTAAATAAATTCCAACAAGCAGAGAAAATTGTGTGAGCTGCCTCTTGTCCTGGCCCTCTGACGAAAGCTCACCCTTTCTTTGAGTCTGATTCCACAGGGGCTTCGTGCCCCACGTTTTATATTGCTGTGTGCAATATAAAACGTTTCTCATCTGGAAACATGCTAAAATGGCAATTCTGAGACTTCCTCTGGAGCAGGCGAGAACAGGGTGGGATCCCACGCAGCCTTTTACTCAGCTTATTTAGTTTCCTGGTAGGCAGCTGCTTTTCCCCTGCCCTTGTCTTGAACTGATTTTTGACCTGCCTTTCAGACTGTCCACTTCTGCCCTTGCCAAAGGGGCATAGCTGATACCTGCCAGTAAGTTTTCACAGCAACCGCTCCTTGCTGTTTGGAGTAAAACGGCATGTCCTCGTGTAGACAAGTGGGCTGACGCGAAGGGTTCTTCTAAGCTCTCTATTTCATGCTCTCTGTGGTAGGGAAACTGTATTTGGTCAAAAATAACCATCACAGATGCCAGTGACAGCTCTAGTGACAGAGGCAAAGTAGGTATTGCCTAAAGGAGGCAAAATGGCCACGGTGCTGCTCAGCTGTGGCAGATCCTAACGAAGGTTCAGCTGCTGGTGCTGGGGTATAATGAGTACCCACTGGTTGAGTGGCAGGTAAAGGGTGGGGGCACGAATGAGCTTGAAATCATCCAGCAGAAAGGAGACAAACATACGGTAGTGAGAGCGACTAAATCTTTCACGGAAGATGCTGTAGCTTTTTTGTACCAAAACTTGCTGCTGCTCTGGCAGGTAATTGCTAGTCAAGCACAAACTGGGTTCATTAAAAAGAGCTCCTGGCTTAAAATGTTTGGCCTATGTCATATCAGAGATCAGATGGAATGACCCCAACATCTCTCCCTCTGGCCTACAAAGATAGGAAGCAATCAAAGGAAAAAACCACCACCACCAGCAGCAACAACAAAATGGGATCATTAGCCGAAGTCTGACGGTGACTGAACTGGCACCTAGTGGCAAACTGCTCCTGTACTGCCCAGCGACCTCTGAGGATGTTTTTTGCAGCCAAAATCATCCACAACCCTTAACTGAATTCTGATTAATTTCAGCCACAGTTTTGCAGCTGGTGCTGTGGCTATAACGTCTTGCAAAACGATCAAAATCCGTTAATAAGCGAACCCTTCATTATCAACTTTTGAATGGATTCATTCATCAGGAAGACCCCAGCAAGAGGGCCGGTCAGAAGACTGGCTGGAATTGGTGGTAACAGCCATAAACTGTACAGACCTTTCCTGCACGGACACAGAACTTCAAGACCGCCCAGCAACCTGCTTTGAGCTTCCTTCCAGGCAGCGTTGCTGTGGACACCACCTCCCCTGTAGAGTAAAAAATTGTGTTGTTTTTTCATTGTATTTTGCTTCCCACTCCCAAGAGGCTTTATAAATGCTGGCTGGACATAGCTGGAGCTGTGCTACAGGTTAGAGGAAAAATGATTTCTATGCTACAGAAATGCGGCTTGCAATATTAAGGTCACACCGTCCTAACATGATCCTACTGCAGAGATGAGTACAGGCTCTGATGCCCAGTGTTGTACTGTGTCGTCCTCAATCAGCTGAAGGCGGTTTGCCCCAGGGCCTGCCGATTCATCTGTTCAGTGGAGCTTGCACCCAATTAACATCCAACAAAATCGAAAGATTCTTCCACGGCAAACAGCCTGCTCATTCATCTGTTGTTTCACTGTGGTGCTCTTCTCATTACCACATTTTATTTCATTTGTACGTATGCTAGTCGTGAAAAAAATACTGTTGTACCCTTGCTTCGGGGGATGAAAGGTCAACAAAGCAAATAGCTGCTGCCTTTTGGGGTAATCAAAATACACCATGTAAAATAAATCTGGAATGGCTTGCAGATGCTGCACATTAGGGAGCTAACCAGGTTTTTATCCTTATTTAGACCTTTGTGTGTTTGTGTGTGAGGTGGTGGGGTTTTTTATAATTAATTTGCACAAGCATCTTGTGTAAAGCATTCCTTACTACACATAAGCGTTTTCCCTTTCATTCTCCACTCATCCCCCAATATTAAAAAAATAATCACGCTGGATCTATGTTCTAATGAGTACTGTTTGCTAAAAAGCAGAGTTATTCAGATCATTAACTTGACCAGCGGTCACGGTAAGTGGGATCTTATGAGGAACTACTGAGCTGCCACACTGGATTAAAAACTGAAGTTGTATTACTAGTTTCTGTTCCAGTTCATGTAGAAATAATCTTATTTACGATGCAATTTTAAAAATACTTTGAGTTAATAATATGACATTCAAAAATTCTCAACAGTTGTGTTTAAACTGCTAAGACAAACATTTTCTTTTCTGGTAGCTTCCTAAGTTTAGCACTGTCAACTGGGAAGACATAAGTACAGTAGATCAAAGGATGAAACTTCCCTGTAAATTCTTCCTTTTTAGCAGAAAGTAAAATCTTATTTAGGTAATGAAAATTACTGATAACTAAGGTTCTGTCTTTATTAGTTTGTGACAAATTTCCAACAATATAAAGATCAATGTGGAGAAAATAAAATTTCCATTAAAGATGCTGCATCTATGCAGCCCATAACGCTTTTGCGTTTCACAACACGACGCGACACCAGTTAATGACAGTATTTCTGACTGTCACCTACAGACTGCTCTGTGGGGGAGCCTGTGGGTACACCTCTCCAAGCTCCCCAGCGTCTGCCTTCACCAGCTACAACGGTCATACAAAGAGGAGGGTGGGGAAGCAACGAAGGGTAAAAAGGAAGACATCATATTCGTAAGCATGTTTAGGGTTGCTCCCTAAGCCCAGATAATCCCTTAATATATCACGGAAACATGAAAAGATTTTAAAGGCCTCTTTCAGGATGTGCCATTTCAGAATGCCTTAACATCTCACATGTCTTAAAGGTCTTTTAAAAAGGTCAAGTTGGGAAATCATGCACATTTATGCCTTTTAGTTAGAACACAAAGATATATGACAGAGAGAAAGTCTTTGTTGCTATTACTAGTATTCTTGTAGTTACAATGATCCAAATTTTTATTTAGCAATAGTGCTTATGTAGCAGCACAGGTAACCACCCAATCAGTGCCTTGTTCGCAATTATTAGTAATTAACTCTGCAAGCTTCTAAATACCCTTTTCCCTCACTGAGATCAAGAATAAACTCTCATCTGGGTAGACAGGAACACACATATTTATGCTCTTTCATACCAGTTCTGCAGTCTTTCACAATACATTAAGATCACTGATTCTAATTTTCATGGCAATAAGGACATAATTTTAACTTACAAAAACAAATGAGACAAACCATACAAACTGGAATTTATTTAATTCATACAGTACAACAAGGAATATAAGAACTTCTGCTTTACATATGTATTTTAAATTCTTTTTAGGTATTTTAGTTTTAAAACGTAACATTCAGTAAGAAACTGTACTATCAAAAGCCAAGTTAGTAAGTACTCTTACTCTGCATTACTTGACAGAACGTCACACAGGAGTATTTAAAACCACGTTTTTCTGCAGAAAAGTCAGAAAAAAATCCTTTAAGATGTTCATTAATATTAAATGGAGTCTTACTTGCTCATATATCAGACAATTATTTCAACGTTGTCATACTGGCAATATCCTGCCATTCCTGTAATCTCTGCTGTATGTAGTTGCAACATGTGTTCTACCTGCATTTTAATAAGTGATATGTTTTAAGATGACAGAAACTAATTAGGACTCTTAAACCTTTCCTGCTACTCAAAGTAACACAGGCTTTGTCACAGGAATGCATTAAGTATAGTTTATCTACTTTGAGCTAGTATTTTCAAAAAGATGTATGGGACATATGCTCTGGCTAACTGTTTTTACATAATAAAAAATATGCTCATCAGAGCATAGCAAAGTGCTGTTTTAACTGTTTGATGAGCTGTTGTGTATCAACATGGCCTGGAAATGCTTCTTCTGACTTCTGAGCAGCTGTGTAACTCCTCTGAAGATCTCCAACCTGTAATAAACACACAAACTAATTTTGTAAATCCAAGCACTGCGGTATTTGTGTCATATATTCTGTGCAGTACGTTTCTGATGCTCACAAATGTTTAAACATAGCTGGTCCTGAGAGTGAACAAATAAAACAGTCAGTATGGAGGCTTTGAACTCAGGGTTATGTCCCCCTTACATCAAGGGATGAGAAGACAGAAATGTGATTTTAATGGGAGGGATGCTTCAAGACAGTAACTTTATATCCCATTCCACCTGACTTCTTGGAGAATGGACAACAAGGTACACCATGCCCAGTCCTTGAAGTGAGGAGGAATAAAAAATGGAAGATTTGTTTTTAAACTCCATAGAGTTGCTGTTGTATAATCAGGCAAAACACAACCAATCAGGCCTCTGTAAAAGCTGCAACTCCATGTGATTTCCTGCTTCCTCAGAGAGGCACAACAGTGTTAGAGAGCTGATGTTGCTCCTCTGCTGCTTTTAGAAGTATGTTCCCACATTGTTCCCTACTTCGGGAACTTTATTTTTTCCTAAATAGCCATCACTTTTTGGAAGGATGAAGTGTATGTAAGGAGAGCATCTCAGAAAGTGGGTTCAGCAAAAAGAACCCAAATGTTTGGGAACACACCTAGTAGAAGTGATAGCTCCTGGGTGGAAAGGAAGAAGCTATGGCAAGTGTCAGTAGGAGGCCTCTGTTGCCTGTGCATCAGTCAACACAGAGCTTCAGTGCAGCAAGAAGTCTCTTGGGGAAGAAACCAGGGTCCTGGCCAGGGAAGTTATGTTTTGTAAACCATGGCCTTACACTGAATCTAAGGATTGTGTTATCACACTGCATCAACAGCTAGCTGATCTGGCCATCTGTCTTCTCCCACAACCTATGCAGGTTCTTTGTGCAAAAGCTACGTAACAAGACATTTGCAGGCTAGGATTTACTCCTTAATCGGTAAGTGCAGAATGCAATTATTCAAAACCATCTTATGTTTCACAATGGAGAGGATACACTTACAAATTAATGGGTTGTTCTCCCCTTGACGCATGTACTTTAGTATCCGTAGGAGTTGGGCTGCCCACACAACACAGACTCATAACAGAATCTTGAAGGTGTAGGCACAAGCAAAGAAGCAATTTTTTCTCGTGAAAAATATAAGGACTTGTACAAGTTTCTCCTTATTAACAGGAATGTTGGACACACTGTTAATTCAGTGTTTGACACACTGTGTATGTCTTTCATATTAACAGACAAAATTCAAAGGTTGCAAAGCTGAAGAACAGACTTTCCTTTTGAGATCAGTAAGGTCATGGGATGAATAAATGATATTCTTTCTATAATTACTGATAGATCATATGATACTACTTCACTTCACATTCTGAAAAAGCCAACGACTGTAAAGACTGTAGATGTAATTGTTAACAGATTGTTCATTTGGAAAATAACAACATTACTTTATAGCTAGTTGGCCTCGCTTATTCTCAAAAGCAAACATTTGAATGACTGCTTTTACACACAAAGCTTCTGGGTATTAAAATGAAAATGTAACTTTAGTTTTCCTTGTGTTTATGCATTGCGTTCTTTTGTCTTACCTATTTGCAATTCTCCGTAATAACAATAAAAACCCAACTGCCCCACCAAGGCTCAATTTTTAGATTACAAGAATAGGATAGTGCGTTACCTTCTCTGAGAGTATTGCAAAATTGAAATGGGGCTCATACATATGAGGTGCTAAAGATGAAGCAGTCTGCAGCAAAGCTCTTGCCTGTGTAGAGAAAGAAAAAAAAATATATCGTGAAATCTGTGAGGGAGGGAGGGTAACAAGAATCTAATGCAATTTTCATTATTCTTAAAAGAAATCATCCTGTGTTTTCTTTACTACGCCTTTACTAAGAAAGCCATCTTCAACTATGTATGAGTTATACCAATAGTACATTTAGGCATAATACAGTTTAATAGCATTGAACTGAATAAGACTCTTGGTTGAGTCAGAAAAAACATGTTGGGACTTACTCAATTAAGCAATTCTGTCCTAAACACCAAACAGAACACATTAATAAAAAAAAAACCTATTTGAAGTCCCTCCCCACTGTATTTATCTGTTGTCTCTGACAGCCCTGTCTTAAGCATCCCTAAAAACTTAAATTTTATCATAAAAATGACAGTTTTCACTCTCAAAATTTTTAATAAAATTAACTTTTTTTCTGACTAGCAAAACAGTAGCATTAAAAGCTAATAAAAAATTGAGTATCAGAGTGTGCATTTTCATGCTGTAAATCCAACACAAAATTCAGGTCAACTTGTGAATGCTTTTACTAAAAAAAATAAAATAGACAGGAAGCGATTATAATGGAAAGGCTCTGCAGTGCTAAGTATTATCAATCACAACCTCCACAACTGGACGTAAGGTCCACCTCGGAATTAAATGTCTGTAAATTTACTCATTATGAAACTGAAACTAAACCCGAAGTTTATTTGCCACTGGAAACATCCAGTGCTGGGTTCATTTCAGTGTTTCCATGGTAACTGCTAGGTTATCTGAATAAAGTTAACTTTGAGAATTTGCTCTTAAAAAAGGTATTTGCAAGTCTTTATATCGCACTGTAGCTCTCTGATGTATATATGAATCCATCAAAACAGGCTTGCTCCCATAAGGATTAAAACAAGCCCTCAGTAGTTCAAACTGTCCAACAAATGCATATTAATTTTCCCTGCATGTGTATAAAAAATGAATGTATGTAATCCACCGTACATATTACTCACATTAGGTAAGACGAACCACCAAGGTTGCAGATGCAAAAGTATTTATCAAGAACCTGCTGCTTTGGGACAAAATTCTAAAGCAATCTCCTTGTTGAAAGAAATCTTTTAAGAGCTGATCTGACTGCTGTCTTCTGCCACCCAACACAAGTATATAATCTACATTTATAGACTGAATATCTAGTCAAAGTTGTAATTTAAGTGATGATTCCAGAGTGATGGGTTTTATTTTGGGTATCAATTCAGAAAAAAGATCTCAACAACTGCAAAGTCACTGTAAACCTTGTGTGTCTTTGATCAACCATTTGGATATGCCTAAGAATAAGCAGTTTAATGGGAGATGGCATGACAACATGGAGGTTACACTGAAACATGCATCAAAGTTATCCATGTTTTCTGCCTCTAATAGTAACCTAGATGTTCATATGGTGCCTCCACCTCAGGGAAATACATGTTTCTTAAGTATAAAAGGGCCAAAGGAAGCATTCTGCCTGGGCTGAGATTCAACACCAACCTGTTCAACGTGACCTTTTCGCATTTCCAGCACAGCCAAGTTGTTGTAAGCTTCCGCATAGTCATTATTGTTGACTAATGTTAGCTTGAAACACTGGTAAGCCAGATTCAGGTCTCCTATCCCCTAAAAAGTAAGATTGTATTTTAATTTGTGAAAAGATTGGAAACAACATGCATCTGTTTTGTTGTCTGGAGTATCTTTTCACCCATATGTACTACCATGGAATACAAATTACAATAAAAACACACTGATTAGAACCATATGTGATTTCTTCCCAGACTCTCTCATTTGCTTCTTATTCTTCCTCCAGACAGAATCGTTTCTCTCCAGTACAAACGTCCATGCTCCAAGTGATATCCACCTCATCTAATTTAACTTTTAGATGACCAAAGTGTCATCTAAAGACTACGCTATCCGCTATTGTCTATAGTAGGGCAAGAAAAACAGAGATGTCTCCAGAGGGGAAGTCATCTTGCCTCTCTGTCTCGACACAGATTAAAAAAAAAAAATCACATATAAGCCTAGTTTTTAGAAGATAAAAATTAAGGGAGATTAATTTCTTTGTATGGAGCAGCTGACTACTCTTTAATGCTCTAGTGTGTTGATCAACACTGATACAGCATCAGGTGAAACATTAAAAGTGACAAATGCTGAAAAATATAGGCACATCAGTTCAAATTTCAATGTTTTATGCAGTATAAATTAACGCGTTTATCCTAGTTGCAGTACAATCAAGATGAACAGTCGAGTTTCTCTCTGACTTAAGTTAAATCATAATCAGCATTTGAAGACACCTCATATTAGAAAGCTGTCAAAAACTTTATTCAGTAACCTTATTCTGGGCATGCCACTGAACAGAAATCTAACACAACTTCTGGAAGAACATCTGCAAAAATGGGCAATGAATGCCAATTAGTGTAGAAATTTAACAAACTGTATCACACAATTACACAGTATTTCTATAGATGCCTGTAAGACAGAGGAACATGCCTTCTCAACTATGAAATACATAGTACTTTAGTGTCTGCTACATGCTGCTGATATGTATTTTTATGACAACAGAATTGGTCTAATGCTCCACGTAACACAAATAACAGCTCAGAGAAAAATATCCTGAATTCATTTTTTTTGTCAAATTAGCTTGCATTGCAGCAAAGGCCTTCAAGGGCTGGTACACGTTGCAGTTTTTCAGAAGGAAGGGAAGGTTAAAGACGGCGGGGAGGGAGCATCTTTTAGCAGGAGTAAGCCACATTCTGTGAAGATGTACAGAACTTTTTTCTTTTGTCTCTTCCTCTCTACTGAAGCGCAAATAAACCTTTAATCTGTACTGCACTTTATCCTGTACGCTATCGCGTTTCATATTTCAAAGTAGGGCAATGACTCCTTCCTAGTTATTCTTTTTCCAGTTTTTGTAAAATTACATTTATTCAGAAAGGTTGTTAATATTTTTCATACCACAGCCACGTGTCCCAAGTTGTACCACACATCTGCTGTCTCCTCCTCATTTTCAGCCAAAAACAGTGCGCGTTCAAATGAAGATAGTGTCATATCATATTGCTGGGCATAGAAGCAACAGAGGCCCAGATTGTTAAAAAGTTGGCAGTTATAAACACCCATCTGCAGGAGCCGTCTAGATTGAAAGAAAATATTTCTTTAATTTATTTTTTAGATTAATCTCACATAAGAGTTCTGTTCTAAATGACAAAGTTCTCTCTTCCTTTCTCCCTGTTCTGAGAGGGTGTAATAACCAAGTGTTAAGTCTTACGCTTGGTAAAGGTTTCATGAAGGGCAGTGCAGGGCATTTTTGATTAGTAGAATCAAAGCTGTGCAAAGCAGTCTTCGTGTTAATTAGGTAACTTCTGTCTTTTTCACTGCGCCACGTGATCTGACTTTACTGTAAGACAGAGCCGTACGCAGACTTTCTCCATTTCCTCTTTCCAGCCCTCAATCTCAATCAAGCTGTAATTTGTTGCAGTTACTTTTTATAACTCTTCAGACTTCAATTTTTTGCTTGATTCCTGTCCTTCAGCACTGCTCTAATCAGTACTTGTACATCTAGCATATGAATCTACATTAATTTTATATTTGAAGCATAACTCGGATTTTTATTCAAATTGATGTTGTTTAATGTGTCTTTTAGAATGGAGATGTTTTATAAAAATTCTGTTTATTAATATTTATAGGAAAAACAGATATGCTAAGAGGGCCAGGGAAAAAGAGGGCTGCTGTCTGCAGCATGGCTGTGAATTTCTGAACCTAAAGGATAAAAGAGCTCAGGTCCAACAGAAATTAGATGGTAGTGCTTATATTGACTTAATCTGCTCTTAGACTTAAGAACTTCATCTTAAAGGTCTTTTCCAACCTAAACGATTCTATGATTCTATGAGTCAGGCTTCTTTACACTCTGACTGTACTGAAATAAAAAGCAAGCAGCATCGTTTAACGCTATCTTTTCATTGCTTTCAGTAAAACATGGGGGAGCCCCAGCCAATGTTCAAATAAGGGATTTTGCAGTCACAACTGCTCGTGACTTCAGGTGGAGTTTTTCAAAGGGCTAAATAGGAAGTATCAGAATGCAACTGAAAATGAGAGTAAGGTCCAGTGTTCTCAAACTGCCGCATGCTGTGAAACATCATTTCTTGTTTATTAATCAAATAATAACTGTTTTGATAACCTTTGTTGATACTTCTACATACTCCGCATGTAACGATGACAGATTTTATTTGAGAGAGAGATGTAATTATCACTGGCTGAGAAGATACGTAAGTTGGTATGCTGATTTCATGGTGCTATGTGTCCAAATGCTCCCTCATCCTCCCATGCCAATCTCCTAATGTTCTTTTTTTTTTGCTATCAGCATTACAAAAATCAACCCTTTATAGTATCCTCCCACACGTTCAGTTCCCCCTCCCTTCCCACAAGTGTAGATACCTATAAAACCGCAGTGCTATCTCAGGCTGGTCTGAATAAAAATGGTTACTGCCAATGCATGCAATGGCTTCCACATGAGTATTATCTTGTTTTAAGACGTCTTTATAGTACTCTGCAGCTGAGGAGATATTGTTCATATCCTATACAATTGGAAAAAAATCAGATTAATTCTACTTTTTATCACCGATTTTTATCATAAAACTTATTAAAATGTCAATCTACTGAGTGCTTTATCTATGCCCTGTACTGTACTTAACTGAGATTAATTATGTACGCTCTTAGGAGTTCTCTCATCGTACAATGCAACATCACCGATGGGCATCTTCACAAGTGACACACACATCCATAAAAAGAATGCATATTAATTTATCAGTGCTAGCTGCACCTGTCATTAACTCTATGCCATTGTTACAAAAAGAAATTTATTTGTTGTTTTTTTTTTTCTAAAAAATAAAAGATTGGTCAGAAGCTTAGCACGTGCAATAGACGTTTGCTACTTTTTGCACAATGACTTGTGATAGACAGTACTGTGCAGTCCGTTTCCCAGTATGGTAACATACAGTAGACTTATTTCCCCAGTCAGCGTCTCAATTATTTTCAATGCTTTGTAAGTCAACTGATGAATTGCTCTGAACACAACAGGCTGCCCAGGAAAGTGGCTGAGTCCCCATCCCTGGAGGTATTTAAAAGACGGGTAGATGTGGTGCTTAGGGACATGGTTGAGTGGTGGACTTGGCAGTGCTGGGTTAATGGTTGGACTCGATGATCTTAAAGGTCTTTTCCAACCTAAACAATTCTATGATTCTATATGAAGAATTATTACATGCCTTTGAAAACAGGAATCACAGATTTATTACCAAAACTTGTGCTAGCTAGGATATGCCAGTTAAGAGAACTATATTGTATAAAAATATATGCTTGGATGTATGCTACTTGGAAGATGAATTAGGGTGAACTCATTGCTGTAAACAACATCACACTGTTTCTGAGGAGCTCAAGTCACCAGAGGACTCTACCCCTTATCAGAAGAAAATAAATCAAAAGATCAAACCACATTTCTATGGTTAGAGAGGAATAATTTCTACCTGTATGCTGTAGATACACTGTACTCTCAACATGACTAAAGAAGCAGCTTTTATTTAACCTCATATACCTCATAGCATATTTAGCTATGAAAAAATGTATTTCCTGTGATTAAAGGAAATAGTATGAAAGCAGTCCCTTTAAAAATAATGTGGTTTTTAAAACCAAAAAAGGTCTACAACTCTTCCTACTGTCAAAAGGCAGCAACAGAGGAGAAAAGCACTGATTAAGATGCCTGATGCATGTATTCCACTTGTGAGTCTATGTAACGAGAACAGCCCTGTGCTGCACTTCAAGTCTTTGCTAATGAAGCTATAATCCCGCACTCAGGCGTCAGTGCAAAACTAGATCCTGTCAACTATATGCTGCTCTTTAATAATTCCTTAAAGGGTTATGCAATGTTATGTATGGTTCTGCAAAATAATACCCATATTAAAAACTGTTTAACAATTCAGAAAGAAAAGCCTCCAAAAATTATGCTGCTGTTTTCCTTCTTGCTGAAGGACAAAAAGGATTTAATATGAAAATGGATTAATGCTTAGGGGTTAGATGAGAATGATGAGAACAGGAAAGAATGCCAAGTATGAACGTAGACAAAAAAAAAATAAATTCATGACTTTGTTTAGACCATTTGTTCTGGAATAGCATCATTACCAACTTTCAGTGAAAAACAATATTAAGTCCACTGTTTGACACGAAAGTACACATTTTTAAAATACAAAATATATGGTTACCAAGCTAAAATGAAACTACTTTAAAACTAATCCTACTTAAAATAACATCTATCTCCTAAACTAAGAAACACTCACATTCCAACTGTTCTCACTGGCTTAAGAAACTAACAGTAACACATAGTGCTAATAAAGACAACATTGATGAGTAGACTATTTTGCTGTTTAATCCTGCTAGCAGGCTGTTGGTGACTTGAGCAGTTTTAGTATGATGAAACATACATAAAGTAGACCTAGCTACATGGACATCTAGACCACTTGATTAACGTGGACTTGCTTCTGTGTGTCAAGGTTAAATAAGATCTCACTAGTGCGATTAACCATTTAAACAAATAAGCCCGCAAGCCTCCCCTGACATTACTTTGGTATCTTTGTGTAATGTTATCTGTTTCGCATTAGTGATACCGAAAATCAGTGTAGTTAATTTTTGATGACCTTACAGTTATATTCAACTATTGGCTCTGTTTTCTTGTTCAGGCAGCTAACCTTGGCCACAATAAGGACTGCATGGTGGGTGCATACCTCGTAGATTCTGGCAATTCCACAAATAAGAGTCACTTCTCCAGGAAATCGATCTAACCCTTGCTTGAAAAGGTTCAAAGCTGTTACAGGCTGATCCAAGCGCAAATACACCTAAGCAAATAAAAAGTGTATATAAATGTCAAATGTCTGACTTTTATACTTGTACTACTCTTTAACAAGGGAGATAAATAAAAGGGATGACACCTCCCTTTATGCAGTAAACCATTAGCTAAGATGGTGAATAATACTGGGAAAATAATGGAGTGAATACTGAATAAATCTCTGTAATGAAGATAAACAGACTAATTCAGATAATTAAATTTGCATGCATATCATCTAGACATTATTAATTCATCTGGACATTACTAATAAGCCAAAAAAGTAACCTGTTATTTATTATCATATCAAGATAATATACTTTGACACAGAGGTGAAGATATCACCTTGAATATTTTCCTGTTTAATATATTTCAAAAAACTTATGTTTAGGCTTGAAAGAACTGGATATTCAGGTTGGTAGTGCTGGAATAACAAAATATTTTACTTTGTCAAAGTAAAAGAGTGTCACAGAGCAGTGACACTTTCAAATTTCCTTACTGTTCTGCCAATCTCTCCTGTCACAAACAATAAAATCCCGTAACAGAAAGAGGGCAGTTTGGTCTCTCTGATTTTGGCTTCTGTGTCGATTATGACAACATGTGATGTGGATAATGTTGTGTCAGAATTGGATAGAGGGCACCAACGTGTTGATAGAGGCCACCTCTGCAGCTGTCTGAGAGTACAACTGTAAAGCCCTCCTGTTGTGGGGTATGGTAAATACAGCTACAGCAAAGGAAAAAAACCCCGCACACCTGCTTTGGGAAACGAGATGGCTAGAGTGATTAATCTGTCTCCCACTGAGTGGAAAAGTGTTTTGAGTGCTCCTGTTGGAGAAATATTACATTAAATAGTGCTAATACTTGATATCACTAAAAAAGGGGAAGAATCTGTGACTGGTATCCTGACGCAAATATTTTGTGATGCCATGTAAAAAAAATATCAACGTTAACTGAACACCTAAGAAACCTCCAAACACATTTTCTGCTTCTTCTCTTGAGCTTCATGGACTTTTGAGTGCCAACAATGAAAATACTAGTTAAAGTCGTAAGTTCTTTATTTGCATCCCTATAGATACGTGCAAATATTATGCTAAGGCAACACAGCCACAGTACTCTACTACGTAATTCCCACATCCAGTGGCATATCACACTGTCCAACATCTCTGCAGACTGTAGAGCTGCTGTCCAGATGAGTGGCAAAAGAAATTAAAAGACAGGCGGGACAACTTCCATGTACTCGTAGCTGCTTTGGGGAGACCTGCTCTTAAAGAGTACTACAGCTACCATCATTAAGTTTTAGATACTAAACGCAGAATGGCTCCATTTTCATTTTGGTATCTCTCTTATCTCTGGTAAAAATATCCCATTTCCAGCTCTTCTGGGTCATGAAATACTTTGTAACTTCTCAGCAGCCCCAACTTCTTTAAAGACTCTTTATTTTGTTAGTTTTCTTTTGGTCTTTTATCTTTTCATAAATTACATTTCAAGGGAGAGCTGGCTTTCAGGAAAATATTTTTAAAAACCCGGATAGCTTTTGTAGTAATGAATATAAACAGAAAACTAATTGGTAACATAGTATCAGTGTGTTTGCACAGAACTTGATGCAATCCTATTATTTTTTTAATGGCTGCTTAACTCAAGTCTTATCTTTTCAGTACTGTCAGATTGAGGCATGTTTCAGTGCCCTACGCTATTGCCTGTCCACCCACAGTCACTAAATCATGTTATGCGATGCTTTACACTTGAGCAAGCTGGTCTATGGAGTGGGAGGCAGAAGTTCAAATGCAGCTCCTGCTTGAGCTAGTAATGATGTGGGGGGATGCACATCTCCCATAACGAATCATTGTTTGCTAATTCAATTACTCTGCCAATTTAATCACTCTGTGTAGCTCATGTGTTTTACAGAATGACTCCCAGTAGTGACAGAAATCTAGAATTACTAAGCTCAATTGAGTAAACTAACTCCAACTGCTGTATTAAATACAAGTCTCCAGATAGCAATGACGATCATTTAAATACAAAACGTAAATTGCTCAAGAAATGTAAAGGTAAAGCAAGTATCATAATATGAATATCTGAATTACCCACTAGTAGTGATGACCTTTGGATAGGCCTGCGACAGCTAGCCTAAAGGGAGCTGAAAAAGAGCAACTGATTTCATCTCTTTCTAGGACAAGAGGAAGAAAAATGCAGTTCTAGTTTCTCACAGGCCACCTTTTCTTGAATGTCTTGGAAAATGTTTAGAATCTGATGTGTACCCTGGTAAACAAGTAATTCTGAGGTTTAGCTGTGCCACTTTTTCTTATAAAGCTTTTAATGCCTTTATTTTGACAGAACATTCTCTGTTTCAAGGTCTCCAATTGCTTCCTTTAAGCTCACTTTGTTTTGATTTTGCTTATGAAACTAGGATTTTGAGCTTCACTCTTTGCTTACTGATTTATTGCATTAGTTTTCTAGGAGACCATATATAGCTACATTGTTCTTCACACTGGAACTCCAAAAATTCTTTAGCTACATAATCTGCATTAGAGTTTAGAGTAAAGAATACTGTAATGTAGGAGGTTTTTTTTTTAAATCTGGAAGCTCCAAAACCTTTTTGTAAACTATAGACTTCAATTTCAACTGTTAGCATGTATTGCCTCAGGTCTATATGGAGATCACACACTATTAAACTTAATGGTGTATCAAGGTCAATACTCGGCTATTCTGGTGTATGGACTTCTCAGGGATAGTCTGGAATTTCACTTCATTCTTAAACAAGCAAATCTATGACTTACTTTTGCCAAATACAAGATTGTATCAACCATGTCCTGTTGCTTGAGAGCTGACTTAAATTGTTTTTCGGCTTCACGATATAATCCTAACCTAAAGAGACAACAGATAGATTTAGAGAGTATGTTTGTTGCTTTGTTTTGTTTTGTTTAAAAAAAGCTTATTAAATAATGAAGCGGTGCACGCTAAATGAAACATGAACTGCCCAAAAGCATACTTTAAGGTCATATATTTGTGAGCATGTTAACAAAAAACATGCTGTTAAATACATTAAGGTTAAAAAGACAACCATTCAAAACTATGAAAAAGGCAAATTCATTAAATTTGGCCCCCTTTTGGACACGCAGCCTTCTGGTGCTAACTGAATAATGATGTACTCATTTTCATAGGACTCCTTCCCGCTCTTTGTACAGAATGGACAGTAGAAAATGAGCAGCTAAAGTCATGCCTCAACCTCTACCCACATGTTTCTGGAGCAGAATTTCCTCACTCATGGCAAAGATCATGTAGATACTCTCCACTGTAAAGTTTTGGGAATGCTTAATCATCTATAAAACACCTTCTCCTAGCCTTGTATGGGAAATGGTGAAACTTCTATTGCTGATATTAAAAATATTTAATTGTGTGTTGAAAACATGCTGCATTGTAAAGGGCACCACAGCTTAAGACTGTCCCAGCAGATCGCTTGGGAGGGGGCAGTATATGGCACATGAACCTCACAGAAGTCTGTTTCATCTCAAAAGCATTTGTTTTGCAGTGTTACTGTAGAATATTTTGCAGTAATCTATAAATGCTATATAGACTACAAAATTATGAGGATTGTACCATTTCAACAACAGCAAAAAGGTACACTTTCTCATATGCAAATTGCCTTTTCTTTCCTTCAGCCAAAGAGCACATATACTCAGTGAAGAAATACAAAACACAGCCAGAACAAGCCAGCCAAAGCACAGAAACACAGCCACTGGGGACATAAGGTAATTTTGGATCCTGGAAGTACATGTGCTTGCTTGGATGCTTTAGTCTCTATAACACTATTCATAAAAATCCTGAAAGTGATGAATGACCTCTAAGCTCAAAAAAAAAAAAATCAGTCTAATCTTCTAAAGAGTGTCAAATAAAGGTTAAGGATAGTGAAGAATTTCATTAGTTTGGGCATCTAAAAAGAAGCAATAGTTTCAAGCCAAGATACAACATGGAATTTTAAAGGGCTAACTGCTTTGTATTATCAGCCTGTTCATACAAGAATTGCTTATAGAATTGTAAAGACTGCAGATGATGCTTCAGTTTCTTAACAACCAATATGGTATCCGTATGTTTTACACTCATGGAACAAACACATTGTAAAGAATGAAGGGGGGAGCTGCCTCAGTACTTGTTTGAATTATGGGAAGCAGGGTTGTATCAGGGGGAGTTTCACCTGATTTGGCAGAACTGGCTGTTACAATCACAGCTAGATCCTCAGCAACCACTCCAAACTGTGTGCAACAAGCTCT